AAATCTATTACGAGTATATAAATATATATGTATATACATACAGATGTTTTAGGAATATATAGGTTAAAATATATGTATATACATATATATATATATACACACACACACATATATAGGTGTGCATATTGTTATTATTATTTTTTGGGGGGTGAGGCAATCAGGGTTAAGTGACTTGCCCAGGGTCACACAGCTAGTAAGTGTCAAATGTCTGAGGTCGGATTTGAACTCAGGTCCTCTTGACCCCAAGTCCAGAGCTCTATTCCTGTGCCACTTAGCTGCCCCATTATTTTTATTTTTATATTATTTTTAAGATAATATATTTTATTGATATATTTCATATTTCAAGATTTTATATAAAGATCTACATCTAAAGATTTTTATCACTGATCCCTCAAGTATTCAGCCTGTAAAAATACATAAGAAAGGACTCAAAGGCCTGGCTGGCTGGCTTTATATTTACACACGAAGGAAACAGTCAGCTGCCCACATGATATAATTTGAGAGCATTTTAAAATTTTCTCTACAGCCAGTCTCTAGGGCCGGAAATTTCACCATTAGAGAGTCACTCCTTCGGATAATAAGAATTTTCTATTCAAATGCAAATTATCCATGGAAAGAGTTACACTTTAAGTTTGTGGCCTGCTATTAATACCATACAATTCCTTTTCAATATGAAAAACAGCTGAGAACCAAACATGGACAGGGAGAAGTATGAAGCAAGAGGCTATCTGCAGAGAAGGGTATCCCCTTATGAAGTGGATGCACTTAGCAGATGGGACCTATCATAAGAATACCAGCCTACTGAGGTAGGTAAGAGGGCCATAAAGTGGGAAGTAGGAAGGGACAGATAACAAACGTCCCCATCCTTCAAAATCTTACTTCAGGTCAGCCCCTCTTGGGAGTTGGATATGGTCTCAAAACTCTGCTGGGAAATACACGTGTGCTGGACTAAGAAGCAAAGTTCTGCTCGAGTTAAATCCTGTCACCACCAAATCGCTCCCTGTGCTCCTTCCATTGGCTAATTCTCTAAACTGATTTTAATTCAGTCCCTCTGATGTGCTCATTAAAGAAGGTAGAGATATACAGGCAATGGGGCACAGAAATCTATCCTGCTCTACAGGAAAACAGAAAGGGGAGGGGATAAGAGAAGGGGGGGAGTGATAGAAGGGATGGCAGACTGGGGGAAGGGGCATTCAGAATGCACACTGTCTTGGGGTGGGGGGAGATGGGGAGAAAATCTGGAACTTGAGATCTTGCGGAAGTGAATGTTGAAAACTAAAAATAAATTAATAATAAAAAACTAAAGGAGGTAGAGTTAGCTACTGCTTAGTGGAAGAGTTCTTTTTCTTGTTAATGATGTACCCTGCCTTGTTTTCTGAATTTATTACCCTCCTTGAATATGGGCAGGATTTCAAAGGTAGGATTTGACATTATGATAATAATGTTCTATTTTGTCCTACTACCAAGAGATGTAGGGTGGCAAAATGCAGAGAATGCTAGCTTTGGAGTCAAGAAAACCGGGGTGCAGGGCAGCTAAGTGGGCACAGTAGATAGAGCACCGGCCGTGGAGTCAGGAAGACCTGAGTTCAAATCCAGCCTCAGACACTTGATACTTACACACTGACATCACTGAACTCTGATTGTCTCACCAAAAAACAAAAAAATAAAAAACAAAAAAATAAGATGGGGGTTCAAATCTCACTGCTGACACATGACTATAGAAAAGTCACTTAATCTTCAGAGGCATCTAAGTGGTTCAGCGGATAGAACGCTGGGCCTAGAATTAGGAAGGCCTAAGTTAAAACCTGACTTCAGACACTAGCTGTGTGACCCTGATCAATCACTTACCCTCTGTTTACCTCAGTTTCCTTAACTATAAAATTGGGATAATATTAGCATTTATCTCCCAGGGTTGTTATGAGGAACAAATGAGATAATATTTGTAAAGCTTTTAGCAAAGTGCCTGGCACAAAGAAGAAGCTTAATAAATTGTTTTCTTCCTTTTTCTATGAGCCCCAGTTTCCTCATCAGTAATAATAATAAGAGCTAGTATCTATGTAGTACTTTAAGACTCCCAAAGTACTTTACAGATACTATCTCATTTGATCACCTCAACCATCCAGGAAATATATATTTTATACCCCCACTTTAATGATGGGAAAACTGAGGCTTGGAGAAGTTATATGACTTGTTCAGAGTCACACAGTTATTAAGTGTCTAAGGCAGCATTTGAACTCAGGTCTTCTGGATTTCAACTTCAACACTTTATCCTTTGCTCTATCTAACTGCCACAGTAACGAGGAGAATAACAGTAGCACCTAATTCACAAGGGTATTATAAGGATCAAAACAGGTAATCTATGTAAAGTACTTTGCAAACTCTGAAGTGCTACCTAAATGTCAGCTACTGATGGGTATGGTCTAGAAAGGAGAATTGAGGACCTTTTTTCTCCAAGATAAAAATTTTGACTGCTAAGAGAAAGATGAAGACTAGAACGGCTAAACAATAAAGAACTGAGAGAAAAGAGGAAAGTGGCTTCAAGGTCATCTGTCCTGGGTAGCCTTTTCATTACTGAGTGACTTATTTTAATAACCATGTCCAGGTAATGTTTTACATGATTGCACATGTATAACCCATATCAGATTGCTTACACGTTTCAGGAAGGGGACAGAGGAACAGAATTTTGAATTCAAAATTTAAAAAAATGTTAAAAATGGTTTTGACATGTAATTGGGGAAAAATAAAATATTATTAAAAATAACCATGTCTAAGTGCTTGGATATACAAATTTTTACCAGCAGAAGTGAGGCTAGATAAACCAAGTTACTCCATTTATTACTTATTACATACAAAATACTGCAAATGTAATCCCCATTTGCAGATACTTCTTCTTAAGGAGAAGAAACATTGGCATTAAACAGGACTTATTTCAATCCTCTCTGCTTGTATGTTGAGTTACTAGTCTTCTCCGTTATAATTTGAATTTGTGTGACAAAATTTCAAGGTTTTTTTTCCTTTTCTTTGTAACTTTTGCAAAAGGCTTTACCTCACTCCGTGCTAAGATAATAATTCCCAGATTGTTTCCAAGATAAATATTAGCACCTGAACAAATAAGTGACTAGTAATCCCTTTCTACTTTTCCAGTTTTCTGACACCTTACTCCACTCTATGTATTCTGCAACTTAGTGGCACTGTCCTTCTTGCAGTCCCTCTCCTGACTCCAGGCACTTTCACTGGCTCTCCTCCTTGTGTAGAATTCTCTCCCTCCTTATCCTCACCTCCTGGCTTCCCTGGCTCACTTCAGGTGTCAGCTAAAATCTTCTACAAGAAGCCTTTCTCAATCCTCCTTAATGCTAGCGCCTTCCCCCTGAGATAATCTTGAACATATCCTGTATGTATCTTGTTTGTACGTAGTTGTTTACTTGTCTCCTGTTAGACTGTGAGCTCCTTGCCTCTTGAGTAAGAGCTTAATTAATTGCTTCTTGAGTTGGCTAGGCAGACTACAGGCCTTGAGATAAATACAAGGTATGACATCCTTGGGCTAATTATGAAAACCTGTCTATCATAGGTTCTTCCCAGTTAATAAGCACCTTCATATGGGGGTACCGAGGTTCTTGAATGTCTGCCAAAGTTGGCAACATTGACCGATGGACCAATCACAAGTTCAAAATAATATGTCCACAAGCTCAGTCACACGTGCAGTAGCTAAGTAATAATGCCAGGTCTTCAAAGACAGTGAGAAAAGCGGACCAGGATCAGAAACAGCATTTTTTTCTGTGTAAATTACTAAGACTGATCTAGCCTCAAATTCCATTCCTATTGAAGACTTGTCCTGCTTACCTCACACAGATGCTAATAGTTGTATTAGTATACTGAAGGCCTTACCAAGCACCAAGAACTCTTCAAGCCTGGAGGAAAATATCCTTCATCTGGAAGGACCTGAGAGGGGCCCTGGTAGTTTCCACATCCCCTGTACTCACTGTAAGTTCAGCCAGATTTAATATGCTTCAATAAACCATGCTGAACTCTAATGAGCTGTGTGTTAAGTTCTGCTCTTACCTTCTAGTAGCGGGGAGGTAGCTTTAACCAAATAACCCTCCATTTAGACAATATGCCCTGCAAAATGTTTGGGAATAAATAGAAAGGTCTGATCATCTCTCCAACACTCACAATTAGTCCCCTGAAACCAGGACTGCCTGGCACACAGAAACCACTTAATAAATGCTTGTTGACTGACTGGTTGACCTTCAGTATTGGACACCAGGACAGTCTAAGAGCATACAGGATCACTGTGTTTCACATATGCATATTCACTACAAATGTTAAGAAGGGATCAACAGAGCTACAGTTTTGGTGGGAGGTCAGTTCGCCAATACTGCATCTATGCTCACTGCAAGCATGGCCCATACTGAAGGACAGATTGGAAAGGAACAGAAACAGCTCCTCTATGGCGAGCTAGTATGGATGACGATCAGGTAGGGAAAGAAGAAGAAGAAATGGCTCACTGTTGAACTTGGCCAGTACAGTGTTGTTATCAATATTATATCACCATCACCTCACATTTATAGAGACGGCAATTTTAACTTTTCAAAGTGTTTCACATCTATTCTCTCCTTTCATGTTGAAAGCATTTGCAGCAAAGACATCCGACATCCACCCAGTGTTCAACCTATCCAAGATGGGGCGGCTCAATGGAGCCAAACCATCTTTCAGCACAAAAGTCAAAGAGGCCAAGATGAAAACAAAAATGGGGCCCACAAAGAAAGACTGAGAGAATTACATGTGAACCCGGCACAGAAAGAACAGCAAGACACAGAACGGTCTTCAGAGCCAACCTGCCCACGTGGACACCAGTAAGTGGAGGTTGTGCCAACCAGCACAAAGGACAGAGACATATTAGGGAGCTTGCCAAGTGGAATTCCTAGAGAAGAAGAGAAATCCCACCTCTTCAGAGCTTATAAACCAACCAACCAACAAACAAACAAAAAAGGAATACTTACATTCCCCTCCTTTTCAAAGTCAGGTGGGAGAAGCTTCACAAAGTTATCTGGAAACACTCCTCGTCTCCCATTCAGTTCTCCTTCCCACCAGCCTACATCGATGCAGTCCTAAGATATAAAAAGGCAGAAACTGAGAAACAGGAGACACACACACTCTCTCTCTCCCTTTCTTTCTCTCTCTCTCTGCCACTAAAACTTTTGGAATGACCTGCATAATAAACATGGAGTGAGCCCCATTCATGTAAAAGGGATATTAGGCATTCTAAATGGATCCTGAGGACAGCTGGTCAATCAATAAACATTTATTAAGAGTCTACTATGTGCCAGGCACTGTGTCAAGTGCTGGAATAATAAAGAAAGGCAAAAAAAAAAGTGCCTCCCCTCAAGGATCTTACAGTCTAATGCAAACAACTATATACAAACTAGATACAGGATAAATTGGGGATAAAGAAAGGCTTTTTATAGGTGGTGGGATTTTATCTGACATTTGAAGGAAGCCAGGGAAACCAGGTAGCAGATATGAGCTGGAAAATAACACCAGGTATAAGGGACAGCCAGGGGAAATGCCTGGAATGAGGATTTAGAGTGCTCTGTGCAAGAAACAGCAAAGAGGTCAGTGCCACTGGTGTGCAGACTATACAGAGGAAAGGCATAAGAAGGCTGGGTAAAGGTTATTAGAAGGTAAATTTAGGCTCAAAATAGCTTTAAAAAATGGGACTATCCAAAAATGGAATGGGTGGTCTGAAGTTAATGAGTTCCCAGCCCCTAAAAGTATCATCATAGTTTTATAGCAAAGGAATCAAACACATAACCCACAATACTCCAGAGAACAACTTGTGCCAGATTAAAATGTAATTGGGAAATATTTAAGAAAACAAATTAAAAAAACAATAAAACATGGATAATATTACATTTAGAACTAAGTCAGAATGCAGCCTGCAGGGATCCTCCTATATGGCTTAGGGGCACTGTTTCTTTTGAGTTGGGCCCCACCATTTCAGAGCATCTGAGGTTTAAGGCCAGAAAGGGCTTCATGGCTCATCCAACTCCTACCTTTTAGACATGAGAAAACTGAGCCCTGAAAGAAGTTTTGTGACTTTCCCCAAAGTCACACTGAGTAAGCAGAAGGATTCAAACTCAGGTCCTTTGACTCCAGCTTCCCATGGATGCTCTGTTGAAAGAAAGGGTGCCTAGCTACCTGCTAGGATGTCACAGAGAACAATCCTGAATTAGGTGAGAGGCTGGACTACAGCAGTGGTAACCAGCTCAAAGAGAAAAGGCAGCCTGAAAATCACACAGAGATCTTGTCGGCAGCATACTAGCTTAGAAAACCACATATAGCCATTCTCTATGTTCTATCGTATTTTATTTATTTTGTTACATATTTCCCAATCACATTTTACTTTGGCAATCCATGGGTCATGTGTTTGATACCTATGGACTAGATGATACTGAAAATTTTCTTCTGCTCTATTTTAAAGACTGATAGGTCACTCATTACTACTAAATTTTAAAATCTCATTTTTATTTATATCTTCTGTTTTTAATTACCGTTATTTCAAAATATATCACTTTCCTTACCAGAAAATATAACACTTTCCTTGGAAAAATTTTTTTTAAAAAAGGCCAGGGAAGTACTTCAGCAAACCAAATGTTTTAATTATGTTTGACCATATATACAATATTCCATAACCACTGTCCCCTACCTCTGCAAAGAAGGGAGAAAGGTTCATTTTCTGAACACTTTTCCAAGGCCAAACTTGGAACATAACACTCCTACCAATTTTAAAGGAATATGCAGCTCTTCATTTTTATGACTAAATATATATCCACTTAGTCACTGTACCAATACTTTCTACTTTCTACTCTTTTTCTGTAAATGTAAATCAAGGAGATATATAATGTGTGTATGTGTGTGTGTGTGTGTGTGTGTGTGTGTACACATGTATGTATGTATGTATGTATATTTATAAATAAGTTTTGAATACAGTAATCAGAGGCAGGGAGGTGACACAGTGGACCAAGCACTGGATTTCGAGTCAGGAAGACCTGAATTCAAATCCAAATGCAGAAATTTCCTAGTCATGTGACCTTGGGCAAGTCACTTAATCTCTGTTTTACACTGGAGAAGGAAATGGAGAGTCAAACAGGAATAAAATGAGTGAACAATAAAAACAACAATGAAATTACCCAAGCAAACACTCCCAGTCCTCCAAATGCCCTGTTAGGTTACTATGAGTAAAACAGACACACAGGGTCATAAAAGTTCGGTTCACTCTTGTTACCGGTGAGATAGCTGGAGCTAAGGGAGGTTAAGTACTTACGCAAGTTCATAGATGCAGCAAGCAGAAAGAGCTAGCATTTTCACTAAAGGACTAAGGTCCACATCCAGAGTTATTTCCTTAATAGGATGCTACTTCTGTCTGTATTTGAATTTTTGCTTGGAAACCAGGTACTCGAGTTATTTCTTCCATTTAAAGGGACCTTTAATGATATCCTGACTTCTTATGTGGTACTCCTATAAATGTACCTTCTGCCTCATCTCTCCAGGTCTCTGTATGTAAATAATAAAGTCTCTTTCAGCTGTGGCAAGTAAAAGACTTTTCCATCACTAGTCTGACCTGTATGTTACAAGATCTCTTCTGTAATAGAGGGGAGTAGTTTTGGAAACTGAATCTTAATAGGATTCCTAATAGGCAGCCAGTGGTATATGGATAGGGCACTAGGCCTAGAAGACTTGAGTTCAAATCAAGTCTCAGACATTTTACTAGCTGTGTGACCCTGGGCAAGTCACTTGGTCTCTGCCTTAGTTTCCCCAACTGTAAAATGGGGATAATAATAGCAACTATTTTGCAAGATTACTGTGAGGACTAAATGAGATATTTGTAAAAGTGTTTAGCACAGTGCCTGGCATGTAGCAGGTGCTATAAAAATGCTTATTCCCTTCCTCCTCTTCCCTCTAACAACATATTATAAATACCCTTAAATTTGATCTTAGGAAATAAAAATTTGCATCTTAGTTCAGAATTAGCAATTAGCAAAGGACAAGATTCACATCTAAGTTCTGAATGAACTAGACTGAGTATAACAAAATTTGAATTTCTATAATGATGAAGCTATGTATCCTTTTGGGATAATTACAACGAAAAGACTTTGAAATACTTTTTTTCTCCATTTGCATTTGCATTATATTATCTCAGGCTGAGGAATCTGATGTAATCCTGAAAAATCCAAAGTGTTAGTTGATGATTTGTTTTTTAATTAAGGGGAAGTTGGGGGTAGAATTTCTTTGCACAGGAGCCTAAAAAAAATCTCATCAGTTTCCCTTCCTTTATTTAGCCTCTGCTCCTGGATAAATTCTGGCCACCTGCAATGTCCTCCCTGCTCCTGTCTAAGTGAAGGGCCTTCCCCCTTACTCAAAAGCTGGTTCTAATATCAGTTCCTACAGAAAGGTCAACTAATACCACATGATGATTACTCCTTCTATCTTCCATCTGTATTTATATACGCATACTAGTTTACTGTCTACTGAAGACACATGAGTTTTAAATGTTTTTCTATCACTTTGGTTGTGGGCAGTGGGCTAAAAGTCCCTCATGGACTTGGTTTTATATTTCTTTTGTATCTGGTTAGGACCATGGTGCCTCATAATTGATTTACTGTGATTATTTTTTGAAATCTTTCTTTCTAGTTTTCTCAGTATTCCTGAATGAGCATTTATATTTCACTTAGATCCAACCCTAATAGTAAAAGAAAAATTATAATGACACAGCTATTTTCCTTTTTATTGTGAAATTAATGAGGCAATTTCCATCCAATAAATAACACAACGCTACGTGGTAGACTTCTAAAATTACCACAAAACTTTGTGGGGTGCTTTTCTATTCAGTGTATTTTTTTTTTAAAACGTAGGGCCCTGAATGACAGGCCAAAGAGTACGGACATAATTCAGTCATAATACATTTTTTAATACATTTCTGTAGCACGTTGGGGTTTTCAAGCACTTTTCCTCATCACAGCTTTGCAGATGTGGTATAAACATCATTAGCCCTATTACAGAGGTTGACTATTTTAGGATTTATCCTGGCTCCAATCCTTATTGGGAATCATGGCATGAGTTTGTGATTCAATTTCCTAATCTGTAAGAGGGTCATGATGATACTTGTATCTAACTACCTCGTAGAATTGTTATGAGGAAAACATATTGTAGACCTTAAAATAACATGGACATGTGAGTTGCCAAGATCAAGGGAAGGTTAAAATACTAAGTAAAGAGACCAAGGAACACATATGGCTGCTTGTCCTAATTGCTAGGAATAAATACAAGGGTCACATTGAAGATAAATACATTGAGCAGGAGCTGCCAGTGTGACTGGCTTAAGAAAACCAAAAAAAATGAAGCCTGTTAAAGAGCAGAAGGGAAAAGGTAATTAATACCAGCATATCTGAAGAGAGATGGCAGTCTCTACAGAAAACTTGAGAAAATTTTTTTCCCCAACAACTCTGAGGCTAATTTAAGGCAAAATCTGAAGAATTATTTTGACTCCAAAATGAGAAGTGAAAATGACGATGAAGTTTTTTCATACAAAACCAAAAACTGAAATACACAAGCAGTTCAGAAGCTTTCCAGCAGAGAGATGGGGGTGCCAGAAGAACCAAACACTCCTAAATTTTGTAATGGGTACATGTAAGGAATACAATATATAAATTAAAATATTGAGAAGAGAGTGGATAAGAAAAGGAAAAGTTGAGGAAACGGACACACTTAGACCCCAATTCTACTCCTAGGGTGAGGAATGTGGAGATAAACTTTTGGTTGCTTAATTAATTAATCACACAAAGATGAATTCCCAAGCTGGAGTATTTAATCTTCCAGAATTAAATCTCAAGAGGGAACAAGAAATAGTCTTTATGCCATATCACTAAGTGGGTACTCAGAGTAAAACATTTAGGGCTTTAAAAAACATAAATATTGCTTTTCTTGTAAAGGGTAAGAGTGAGAGACAAAGCAAGGGGGTCAGGGGAAGCTACTAACACCTTCTGGCCTCCAAGAAGGGGGGAGATCAGCCTCTAACACTTCCTACTGATTAATCATCCCCCTCTATGGA